GTGCCACTAGGGGTATGCATTCGATTTATCGATTCGATTTTGACCCTTATCGATAATTACTTATCGATTATCGATTTGTACATATGCTTATCGTTATCGTTTCAATAAGGTTCCGATTTTTTCGATTTCGATTTATCGATTTTTGGGGCTTATCGATTGCACCAATAAGAAAATTTGCGGGATTCCACGGAAAGTATATCGCTATAAACACGCCTAACTAATATGGACAAAAAGAAGCTAAAATAAGACGAACACCGTTTATAACATAAAAATTGTGTCAACAAGCACATGCAACAAAAGTAAAGTAAGGGATCAAATGTATGCCACCAACACTCCAACGGTATAAAAAAAAATACATCATCACGGCTAATTCTGTTTTCCATTAATTTGAACCTCATTCCCTTGAGCTTTAAATATGGTCATTCCTTAAATGTGGTAGAGGAAATAATAGGATTAAGGACTTAGGGTAAAGGAAAGGGTATTATAGAATAAGGGTAAAAAAAAAAGAAAAAAAATTGTGTATCTTATCGGTTTATCGATAAACCGATAACCGAAGAGGACAAAATCGAAATCGAAATCGATAACTCGATAAGGAAAATTTCGAAATCGAAATCGAAATCGATAAATCGATAAACCGATTCGAATGCACACCCCTAGGTGCCACACAAATAATCTCCAAATTAGCCCATAAACGGTGATGAGTCATGTGAAACTTAGTTCACGGGGAAATTGTTGGGTGCGTGTGGACAAAGTCCCATATAAAAAAAAAGAGCTACTTATAAGAAGTTGGATACTCTTAATGGTGTGAGGTTATCCCGGAACTACTATGCTATGTTTTGTAATTTTTCGCATGATGATTGATATTCGGCTTAAAGTATGCATATTCTTGTGTATATTACCTCGCATTTTGCTCATGTATCGTAGATTTTGGATGTGTACTATAATGATTTTTGCTATTTTGGGGTATTTTATGTGTAGGAATCATCCGGATGCAAATTGGGACGAAGGTGCGCGAATTGGAGCGAAAATGGGAAGAAAAGGCAAAAGTGCATAGTTCAGCGCCACAGTCAGCGTGGGGCGCTACCTGTGGCGCACAAAAAAGAATGCTTAACAACCCCAGCGCCAGGGCTAGCGTTCTACGCTGCCCTAGGCGCTGGTGATGTGAAAGTGTCCTATTTCGACCTGGACTCGGTTATTTCGACCCCAAGATGCCCCCAACTCATATAAAAGTGAACCCAAACCTATTTGAAGGAGAGGACGTGACTTTGAGAGAGGAACAAAAGTACGAAATACTCGGGAGCAGGGGTTTGATGAATTCTTCCATTCATCATCTAGTGTTCATTGATTTTATGTTTGAAAACATTATTTTTGATGATTGTATGAACATGAGTGGCTAAGAACCTTATTATTCCGGGGTCATGGGTGCTACATGAATGTCGTTGTTTGAAGTTTAAATTGACGAGTTTGATTTTATCATATTGGGTTGTTTATTTAATTCTATTCTTAATTATTTTGCTGTGTAGCTAATAGTGAAATACTATCTACGAATCTAGAGTTGAACTCGAAAGTGGGAATTCTAGATTGCATATAGGATTAAATATAGCAAGTTCTTGAACCAGGGCATCGGGGAACAGATTCGCAATTAGGATAGAAATATACCTAAGTGTCTTGCTTGGTTGAAATACAGGAAGTGTAAATGCATTCTTGTTAGTGTTAGTTCCATAGACATATAGGTATTAAGTTAGCTTGAATATGAGAGTAAGAACTCGACAGATTCTTATGAGTAGTATTAACTCTGTCAATCAACAACTCAGACAAATCAATTAGTCAGTTTAAGCCAAGAACGCAACAAGATTGTTAGCTAGCCTATGACCCTGGAATATCCTTTCCTACTGACTTTTATTCGAAATTGCCTAAGTGTTGTAGTTGATCTCTAGTTATTTCATTGCTTGATAGTTTCTTAGGTAGTAAATTACTCACTTACACATTTTGTGAGAAATATCTTGAATCGATAAGTTGTTTGAGTTTGAATCAGTCAAAAGTTAAACATAAGTCTCCGTGAAAACGATACTCTACTCACTACTCTATTACTTGACGACCATGTATACTTGCGTGAGTGTGTTTGGTCGCAACAAGTTTTTGGCGTTGTTGCCGGGGCCTTAGAAATTAGCTACTTGTCTGAGTTAAGCTTTTATTAGTTATTTGTTCAAGTTTTAATTTTCAGTTTACCTTGATTGTGTTAACGCAAGCTCTTTTCTTGAATGCGGAGGAGTAGAAGCACAAACAACCTCCTTCCTCTTGATCCTGAAATTGAACGAATACTTCACAGGCTGAGGAGGGAAGTCGAAGCTAGAACTAGAATAGAAAGAGAGTTGGACATCGTAGGTCAACCACAACCAGTAGGGATGGCAGGTAATGAAGAGTGTCCGGTGATAGAAGCCGCAAGTCCAAATCTTGCTAATATGACTCGGGCTATTGTGAAGCCTGATATCAAGGGTCATTTTGAACTCAAACAATACATGGTGTATATGATTCAGTCCATAGGGGAATATGTGGGTATGTCTCATGAGACCCACATCGGCACATTCAGAACTTCCTGGAAATTACAGATACTTACAATTATCCTAACATTTCCAAGGACTACATCATGCTGACACTGTTCCCCTTTTCACTGCTGGGAGAAGCTAAAGGTGGAGGTGATTGAAAAATTTCCCCCATCGACATCCGTCAAGGGAATTCATAATTTCTTGGGACATGCAGGTTTTTATCCTCGTTTCATTAAAGATTTTTCAAAAATTTCTTCTCCTCTGTGCAGGCTTCTTGAAAAGGATATCTCCTTCAAATTTGATGATACTTGTCTGAAAGCATTTGAGGAGCTGAAGAAAAGATTGGTGATTGTGCCAATTACCATTGCCCCGGATTGGGCGCAACCCTTTGAGTTGATGTGTGATGTAATGCTGTATGGTGGGCCGGGCTGGGCCCGGGACCGGATCGGGCCCGCGGTCTTAACGGGCTAAACGGTCCTGGCGGGCCGGTCCCCAATGGTGCAAGAGGCCCGTCGCGGGCCGGTTCTCATCTCTAAGCCCACGAGCCCGGGACCGCTAAGCCCGGGACCGGTTCAACCGGGCCTAACGGGCTCCAACGGCTATTTTTAAATTTTTTTTTTTAAAAAAAAAAGACCAACGGTCAGATTTTTAAAATCTAGCCATTGGCCTTCATAATTTATCCGTTGGCCACTTTAAAAAATAGCCATTTGGCCCCCAAACATTATTTTAACCCCAAACTTTATATAATTATACTTTTTCCCAATTCTCAACTATAAATACCCTCTCATTCTTTCATTTTTACTCACCAATTCATCAATCTCTCTCAATCTATGTCTAATTTCTCTTCTATAATTGCTTATTTTATTATTGCAATTTCGTGATTGTGAAGTTGGTGAATTTCTCAATCTAAATTTCTCTCAATCTCTCAATCTCCAATTTTCAAGACTTCAAGTCTCAATCTCAATTTTCAAGTTAAATGATGCCTCGTTCGGAAAGAGTGCGCTTATTTGTTTCGCAATACTATGAAGTGCTTGAAGAAAATGAAGAAGGCCAAATATTAAAGTGCAAGAACTGTGGAAGAGTCTTAAATTTTCGTTCAGGGTGTACCACATGCATTTTAAGAAGGCATATAAAGTATTGTGTTGAGGGTATTTATCCGCAAATTCGTCTTTAAGATTTTTCAACAATTTGTGTTATTTTAAAATTATTAGACGTATTTATGCTTCATGTTGTACTTTGTTATTAATTTATTATGCATGCCAATTTAGTTTTACTATTGTTTTGTTATTTTACTTTTACGTCAAGCACTTTAATAATTAGATTTCTATATTATATATACTACAAATATTTATATATCCATGCATAAGAGCAATTTATATATATACATACATATATGGTTTACAAGAAATTGCCTTAAATAAAAAAAATTTAAAAAAAAACCCGGAAATAAAAAAGCCCGTTAGGCCCGCTAAGCCCACGAGCCCGGCCCATTTAGCCCAGGACCATATGGGCTTAGGCCCGTCACGGGTTGGTCCCACCCGTTGAGCCCACGAAGCCCGGGACCGTGAAGCCCGGGACCGCCAGAGCCCGGGACCGCTAAGCCCAGGCCCGTTTAGCCCAGCCCGTTTAGCCCATTTAGGCCCGGGCCCGGCCCACCATACAGCCTTATGTGAGTGACTTCGCAATCGAAGCTGTTTTGGGGCAAATGAGGGGTAAAATTTTTTACTCCATTTATTACGCGAGCAAACTTTGAATCCAACCCAGATGAACTACATTGTTACTAAAAAAGAGTTACTTGTAGTGATGTGGGCATTTGACAAGTTCAGATCCTATCTAGTTGGAACCAAAGTCATCGTCTACACAGATCACTCAGCTATAAGGTATTTGTTTGAAAAGAAAGACGCAAAGTCGAGGCTAATTCGATGGGTCCTTCTCTTGCAAGAATTTGCCTTAGAAATTTGGGATAAAAAAGGAATAGAGAATCAAGTGGCTAATCACTTGTCCAGATTAGAAAATCGGAACCATGTAGCTGGGGGGGGGGGGTCGATCAAAGAAACCTTTCCAGATGAGCAGTTATTGATCGTTGCCTCGAGTGTAGCCCCGTGGTATGCAGATTATCTGAATTTTATTGCAAGTGGGGTGATGCCACCAGAATTGACACCCGATAATAGAAGAATATTTCGACATGATGTGAGCTCTACATGTGGGATGAGCCATTCCTATATAAACAGTTTGAGGATCAGTTGGTACGAAGATGTATTCCCGAGGAGGAGATGAGTGCAATATTGCATGACTGTCATGCTTCTCCATATGGAGGTCTTCATGGTGGGAATAGAACTGCCCAAACAGTGTTGCAATTGGGTTTCTATTGGCCAAAATTGTTTAAGGATGCACATGCCTTTGTCAAAAAGTGTGACATGTGCCAAAGAATCGGAACAATCACGAAAAAGCGAGATGCCTTTGCAAAATATTCTGGCAGTAGAGATCTTTGATGTTTGGGGGATTGATTTCATGGGACCATTCCCATACTCTAATGGTCATAGGTACATCTTGTTGGCAATCAAATACGTGTCTAAGTGGGTGGAGGCCATTGCTCTTCCTACTAATGACGCAAATGTAGTGGTAAACTTTGTAAAAAAACATATCTTCACACGCTTTGGGACTCCATGGGTGCTGATAAGTGATGGAGGAACTCACTTCTATAAAAAATTGTTGAATAACGTTCTAGCAAAGTATGGAGTTAAGCACAAGGTTGCCACCGCCTATCACCCCCAAACGAGTGGTCAAGTGGATGTGTCAAACCGAGAGGTGAATCAGATTCTGGAGAAAACGGTAAGTGGAAATAGGAAGGATTGGGTGGGAAAGCTGGACGATGCATTATGGGCATATCGAACGGTATACAAGACCTCGTAAGTACTTCTCTGTATAAGTTGTTTTATGGGAAGTCGTGCCACTTACCTATCGAGCTTGAACACAAAGCCTATTGGGCGATTAGAAAGCCAAATATTGATATGGACTTAGCCGTCAAGAAGAGGTTGTTTCAACTAAACGAGCTTGATGAGTTTCGGTTGCACGCGTACAAAAATGCCAAATTGTATAAAGAAAAGACTAAGAGGTAGCATGATAAACACATCCAACATCACGAGTTTGAGCCAGGTCAAGAAGTTCTCTTGTTTAATTCAATGTTCAAGCTTTTCCCCAGAAAGCATAAGTCTCGATAGACAGGTCCTTTCGTGGTGGTAAGTGTGAGGCCTCATGGAGCGGTAGAATTGCATGATATGACCTCAAGTGGTACCTTCTTGGTAAACGGGCATTATTGGGGTGGTGACATTGCGCACCACAAGACCTCGGTAGACTTGGCCGATACTTGAAAAAGGTGTTGAGTCGTGCCGCGACGTAAAATCAGGCACTTGTTAGGAGGCAACTGATCACGCCTAACTCTAGTCCTAAAAAGGATAAGCAGTCACTGCAAATATAATCCGGTCTAAAAGTCCGGAGTCGAATCCCACAGAGAACTAAGGCTTAGCTATATCTGTTTAATATCACTAAGAAGACATGTTTGAACAATTTTCTAAATTATAAAGATTGAGATTTATATTTCTAACTAATTAACTAGCAAATACTATAAAGCGATAAAACTATCAACTAACGAGACAAAGGGTTGGAGACTAAATTAAGGAGGTCAAGAGTTATGATTTCCCCAATTATCGAAATCCTTACAGCTATGTTCCCTACAATTTCGCCGATGTATTCTCTACTGATCGTGAGCACTTTAGGTGTCATAATTCTCTCTCTCGAGCAACAACAATAATTTACTAGACATATTCTCTCGAACTACGCTAGTTGGCTTCATCTAACCGCTCACTATGACCACGTCAAGGCTTTGTTATTTCTAAACCTGCCTTTAAACCCACTGTATTGATTTCTCACATACGTTAGGAGTGACGTTGTTCAACAACTACCTAAATATGTACTCTCTCTCGAGCACTACACACTAAATAGGCACAGTCAATTGATGGTCATTCAATCAATAACAACAAATACGTAGTTGAACAAGTAGAGAAATCCAACGGCTCAATTATCTAAAAACATAACAAGAATTTATCCTACAAAAGGTTCTATCAAAACCCTAGATAACAAATTAGCTATTCATAATAGTATGTAAAACTACAATACTAAAAGTCATAACCAACAATGAAAAACTAGGAAGAGGAAGGAAAAAACTCGTAGAAGAATTCTCCGCCTTGCTCCTATTGTGTCTCTGCCTCTTTAGGTCGAATCTGTGTCAAAAATTGGTCTCCTCCCCTCAAAATACCATTTTTCCATGTATATACACCAAGTAGGGTTGGGACCAAACTATTATACCTTCTCCTACGCGAAAAAGGACAAGTTTCCAGGCCTGGATGTCCGCGGCCGCGGCCCGGGCGCGGTACTTTCCTAGTGTACTGCCTCAGCCCGCCTCAGGTCCGCGGTTGCTGTTTCAACCGCATTTTTCACATTGTTCCCTTTGGAATTTGGAAAAGCTTAAAACATGAAAGTTGTAGCCCTTTGAGTTAGCTTTCCAACCATATATTGTGGATCCCAAATGGAGTTCTGAGAAAAATTATGTGCATTTTACTAAACAGTATACAATATGCCTACTCGATTCTTTGTTTTGTTGCTCTATCATCCGTTGATCCCCGAATGCGATCCCAGCTTAATTCCTTGGGCTTTTACTCAGACTTCAAAGCTCTAAATCACTTGAGTTTATTCCATAACATCTACATAGCTCGGAATCACCTCTACAAGGCATAAAACACACAATTAGTGCAAGACACTAGCGATTAAAGCTCAAACTCAATTAAAGTGCAGTAAATTAGAGTGTAATAATCGACTAAAATACGCAATTATAGCCTATCATCAACACTCCACACTTAAACCATTGCTCGTCCTTGAGCAATCAAACTACACTTTTTTATAGACACGACCTTTTTTTAAACAATTCTCCTAAATCATCACACCAAGAATATTTAAAATAGACTAAGCACAAAAGCGTAACATCTTCACCTCAAGATTTGACTCACAAGTACCACGCATTATTCACAACTCACCCACTTACTCTAACATAGAGATCAGTGACATTACCTTTCCTTCATGAATCAAGTGCCCTCACACAACAAAAGAGAGTAGTTCCACACAATAAAATTTAAGAGCACTTAGGACTCAAGATAGAAAGAATTCACTCACTCTCAGAAATAACATTCATATGCCACAAAAGATGCACCATAAGCTTGCCCGTAGTGTACTACTCCACTAATCGAGCTCATTCAATCTAGGATCAATTAGGACATTATTTGGTTGTAATGTAGGCTACGGGACGGGTATGATACATTTAGATATAAGAGTGACTACACCTCCCTAAGCACTTTAATACATATACTTTAACATTCAAACCCCATACTTATGTCAAACGAAACTCCACCTTCACATCAATGTATATTACCCATTCTTCTTTAAGCACACTTACATCAAAAGCCACCACTTATCAAGGAATATTTTTTTTCCACAATAATCGAACTATTTTTTTTCTTTTTTTCTTTTTTTTTCCAATTCAAATGGCTCTTACTTTTTTCAAAACAGTGCACCTTTCTCCTTATTTCATTAGTTCCACTCAAAAGCCAAACCAACCACCCCACACTTTAACTTTTACACAGTTCATAATAATTCAAGTGCTCATGAGAGGTTAAAAGGTTCAAATAGATGATTAATTCAAACAAATGGGTAAGGCTTGTAATGTGGTTGCCAAAGAAACAAGATTACATGCTTAAAGGGGTTAACTACGATACATAACAATTAGGTGGGTAAAATATACATATCTGGCTCAACAAAGAAACGCCTATATCACTTCCAAGACCGAACAAAACTACTATTTTGCTTTGCAAACACACAGGGCAAGTTCTAGGCATCAAATGCAATGCACAGAATATAACAAATCCTTACACACACATGGCACATAACTCACTCAGGATTGGTTTCATCAAGACACTCTAGTCAAAGCAGTTAAGCAAATTTAAGATCATTAAATTTAAGGTACTTATACAAGAGTCAAAAACTGAGCCTAAGCGTCACAACCAAAGTACTCACTATTCTCAAGGCATAACAAAGTCAAGAGATATTGCTTCAATTCAAACACAACACAATGGCTCCTACTCCCAAAAAAAAAACTAACGACACCCGGTTCAAACAAAACCCTTGGAAAAGAACCGCGGCACAAAAAAACCAAAGGGGAATTATTACACTACCTACAAAGAAAATCTTTTTATTTTATTTTTTCTTTAAACTTAAATCCCTCAAAAAAATTGTCTAATAGATCCATCGTCTGAAAAAGTCCAATCTTTTCTATTTTAAAAAAATTATTAAATTAAACTAACGCAACTAAAATAGCGTAGAAAGTCACCCAGACAATCTCCTCACCCCACACTTAAAATTGTGCATTGTCCCCAATGCACACCATAACTAATAAAAGGGTAAAAGAGACTCCCTGGTAGGCCAAAGGCCGAAGCACTAACAGCTCATGAGGTACTCAGACTTCTCCCAAGCTTGGTCCTTCGTGCGGGTACCTCACACTTACTTCCAACCATTTGGTTTGCTGTTGCATCCTTCCAATAACTTTGTTTTCCATGCTCCTAGAAAATAAAAAATTGACACTACAAAAATAATACAATTAAAAAAAATAAAAAAAATAAAAGAAAGCAATAAAGCTGGGTTGCCTCCCAACAAGCGCTTGATTTAACGTCGCGCCACGACGCGAATCACTTTTTGCCTCCACCTTGAGCTTATGAATTGAACCCCCAATTTGGCATCAAGTTTTAGGCTATGCTCCAGCGGAGGAGGAACAAATATAATTGGCCCAAGCAACCATTGTACTATTCTATACTTCTTGGCTTTTAGATGAGCTATGTAGTCCTGTCTTTCTGGCAAGAAAAATTCCAAAATATAGGCACCTTGTTCCTCATTCCTTGACTTTTCAATCGGCTCGGATGACTCTATTTCCATATCGTCATCCAAGCACAATGTAGAAAAATGTTTGGAGTGAGGACCAATGCGCTCACACATGAACTTCAGGACTTTCAGCATCCTCAACATCAATGATATTAGAGTCAACAAAATTTGTATCCTCAATGTCCTTGGCTGACTCTAGTCTCACTTCTTCAACATTGACATCCTCAAATTGTAGTTGGCTAGGTTGTAGATTTTCTACTCTGACCTCCCCAATTAACACCTCAAATTCATGCTCTTCTTGGCTACTATCATCAATATTGGCTTGTTGAGCATTAAAAGCTCCAACCACTTGACTCAATTGAGCCTCCAACTTGCGAATAGTTGCCTCTTACCTTTCTATCTGCAATTGTTTTTCATTATTTTGTTTCAGAAGGCACTTTAACATATCCTTGATCTCCTTCAGGTCTGCATCCCCAGGTTCTTTATTCCTATTAACTTCACAAGAAAAGGTAGAACCGTCATAGTAAGGGTTTGGGGGGAGATAAGAAATATAAGCACAACCATTAAAGTGACCATTTTTACCACCACACACATCACACATATTCCAAAAATAAGATTGAGTTGGTGCACATAACTCGCTCTCGGGAATATTTTGATAATTTTGATACGGGTGGTTTCCTTCACAATATATATGAGGATCAATAGTAGAATTATCTACACCTAAATTCTCATAATTCCAAGATGTCATGTTTCTCGAATCAACAGTTATAAAAAAAACCAAAAAAAAAAAAAATAAAAGTTCAAAATTGAACCCTAGCAATATATGCAGCTACAACTACATCGTTAGTTCTCCGGCAACGGCGCCAAAATTTGATCATGCCCAACTCTAGTCCTAAAAAGGATAAGCGGTCGCTGCAAATATAATCTGATCTAAAAGTCCGGAGTCGAATCCCACAGAGAACTAAGGCTTAGCTATATCTATTTAATATCACTAAGAAGACAAGTTTGAACAATTTTCTAAATTATAAAGATTGAGATTTATATTTCTAACTAATTAACTAGCAAATACTATAAAGCGATAAAACTATCAACTAACGAGACAAAGGGTTGGAGACTAAATTATGGAGGTCTAGAGTTATGATTTCCCCAATTGTCGGAATTCTTACAGCTATGTTCCCTACAATTTCGCCGATGTATTCTCTGCTGATCGTGAGCACTTTAGGTGTCATAATTCTCTCTCGAGCAACTACAATAATTTAATAGACATATTCTCTCAAACTACACTAGTTGGCTTCATCTAACCGCTCACTATGACCACGTCAAGGCTTTGTTATTTCTAAACCTGCCTTTAAACCCACTGTATTGATTTCTCACATACGTTAGGAGTGACGTTGTTCAACAACTACCTAAATATGTACTCTCTCTCGAGCACTACACACTAAATAGGCACATTCAATTGATGGTCATTCAATCAACAACAACAAATACGTAGTTGAACAAGTAGAGAAATCCAACGGCTCAATTATATAAAAACATAACAAGAATTTATCCTAGAAAAGGTTCTATCAAAACCCTAGATAGCAAATTAGCTATTCATAATAGTATGTGAAACTACAATACTAAAAGTTGTAACCAACAATGAAAAACTAGAAAGAGGAAGGAAAAAACTCGTAGAAGAATTCTCCGCCTTGCTCCTATTGTGTCTCTGCCTTCTTAGGTCGAATCCGTGTCAAAAATTGGTCTCCTCCCCTCAAAATACCATTTTTCCATGTATATATACCAAGTAGGGTCGGGCCCAAACTATTATACCTTCTCCTACGGAAAAAGGACAAGTTTCCAGGCCTGGACGTTCGCAGCCGCGGCCCGGGCGCGGTACTTTCCTAGTGTACTGCCTCAGCCCGCCTCAGGTCCGCGATCGCGGTTTCGACCGCATTTTTCACACTGTTCCCTTTGGAATTTGGAAAAGCTTATAACATGAAAGTTGTAGCTCTTTGAGTTAGCTTTCCAACCATATATTGTGGATCCCAAATGGAGTTCTGACAGAAAAGTTATGTGCATTTTACTAAACAGTATACAATATGCCTACTCGATTCTTTGTTTTGTTGCTCTATCATCCGTTGATCCCCGAATACGATCCCGCCTTAATTCCTTGGGCTTTTACTCAGACTTCAAAGCTCTAAATCACTTGAATCTATTCCATAACATCTACATAGCTCGGAATCACCCCTACAAGGCATAAAACACACAATTAGTGCAAGACACTAGCGATTAAAGCTCAAACTCAATTAAAGTGCAGTAAATTAGAGTGTAATAATCGACTAAAATACGCAATTATAGCCTATCATCAACATCCCAATTTTCAATGCTTTCATAGCTTAGCTTTTTTTTTTTATAGTTAGAATAGACTAGTTTTTTTGTTTTCTTCATAGTTATAGAAATCATAGGCGGGAATGGTGTAGGGTGTGTATAATGTACGTATTAAGTGCTCGGGTAGGAGGAAATTAGAAAAAAATAGAAAATTTCGGCAAACCAGCGCCCAGGCTAGCGCCCCACGTTGCTTGGGCCGCAGTTTCCAGTGTGGTTACAACGAGCGCCAAGCCCAACGTCGGGCGCTGGGCTGGGGGGTCAGGTAAGTTAATTTCTTTTGTTTATTTTCGTTTTTTTTATTTCTTTAGTTATCTAACCCATTACCCGATCCTATTACCCATATACACTAACATAATAACCCATCCCATTAATATAACTCTAACCCAAACTTCCACTTTCTCTCTCCTCGTTACACTCAAACAAACCCTTCTTCCCGTTTCTTCCTCTCTCCCTCTCTCCCTCTCTCAAATTCTCCACTATTGCTTGTGCGTTCTCTTCTCAAACTCCAAGGTATGTTCCTCACCTTCTTCTTCTTTTGTTTATTGTGAATTTTTTGTGTGTTGTAATGACCTCCATTCTCAAATGACCCCCATTATTGACATGTTTTATTGTTGTGGTAGGTGGCCCAAATGTGCATGAAATTGGTTGTCAGTATTGGTTGTGATGTTGTATATGAAGTAGTAAACTACAATTTCCTCTACTTCATTTAAATTTGGGAGGGACAACATTGTTGAAATAAGAGAAGTAAAATTGATGCCCGCAATGTGTTTGCTAAAATGCTTAAAATAGTGAATTGTACACCGGTGAATTCTGAGTAGCAGCGTGTATATGATGTTGGGCGAAGTGTGGGATGTTTGGAGGGGGGGGGGGTGGTTGGGGTTAATGTATCTTTTGTTAAGCTCTTGTAAGTAGTAGTTAGTGTACAATATTAGTGTAGTAATGTGGACTCTAGCATTACTTGTTTGCACTACGGTTAAGTTATGGCCATGCTCGACTACTTGAATTGTGTGGCATGGTAAAGTCTTGCGTACTATCTCCTTGTGATGAAACATTGGTGCACATTGAACCACTATTGTGAGTAGATTATACATAGCCTTCGGTTTTAAGTGTGGGGTCATCTTAGCCTCTTACGATGACCTTGGGCGAGTTTGCTGATTCATTCTCACATTTGTGTTTGTCGTGTGTAGGTTGCTATAGCTCGTGACAATGATACCAAAGAAAAGGGAGTGGTAAAGTCCTCCACTACCGCCCCCCCTAAAAAATGAAAGCAGGGTGAAGGTTCTTCACAGCAAGCTAAGGGAAAGCAGGTTGCTAGCGGGTCGACGAGGACACCGTCACTCCCACGGCCTCGGTTGGATCTAGTTTGAGATGATGCCATCAAATGGCATAATAACTTTGTGCCATATGGGGGATACGTCTACGAAATGGGGATTAATGTGAAATCTCTAGAAAAGAATTTCCCGAATGTGCTTGCCCGGTTGGTAGAGATGAAGATGGAGAAACTCATAGATTACTCGGGCCCTGCGAATTTGAGTATGGTGCGAACGCTATACGCCAATTGGAACACGATCTTATTCTGGTCATGGGTCGACGAAAGGAGATACCAATGGATAGGAGATCCTTGTGTGAATTTTTGGGAGTTGATCGACCTAATCCACGGAGGCTAAATAAGTTCGTCAAAATCCCACGCTAACGGACAATATATCACACTCTTTTTGGCGTTGATTCTAATGCCAAGTGGACACGGACTAAGGGAGATGCCCACCTTGAGATGCTCCGTTTCAACTTCAACGAGACGGCTAAGGTATGGAAAAACTTCTTGTAGGCTAGATAGATGCCGTTGAGCATAACAGTGAATGCACTCGAGCTCGAGTGTGTGTGACATTTTTCTAATGACTAGGTGACCCATAAATGTGGCTGAGATCATTCTAGGATAGATGGCCCGCACCCGCTTTGAGCAAAGTAACAAAAGGTTCTTCTTTGGAAACTTCCTAACGCAGTACATGCTATCTCGTGGGGTACCGGAGTACCTTGGATATGATGAGGTAGTGGAGTCACCAAAGGCATTGCTAGACATTACATCCTTGCTGGAATCCATATCAAAGCTAAGCCAGGCTGCAAGGAATAAGAGGGATGAAAACTTCAACAGGTATCTTTATAGTTCCCTCAATGCGATAATGAGCAGGCTAGAGGTTTCGGATGAAGAGCGTATGCATCTACGCAATGACCTCTCCAGTTCTTCCAAGGAGATGTTGGGCATTGCACCAGGCAGTCCCATTCACCCTGAGGACGAGAACACATACAAAGGATCTGATGATGAGGATGAGGATGATGATGAAGTCATGGGGCCCATGACTTTGGTGCCCCTAGAAACGGATAATGAATATGAGCCCAAAGCTGCGGCTGGTGGAAATTCTAAGGAGGAGGAATCTGACTAGCAGGGAGTTCTTTCTTTCCACCTTACGTTGTTTTGAATTTCTTTATGAATCGGGGACTACACATCATTCAAGTGTGGGGTGAGGGAAATGCTTCTTGACTTGCAATTGTATAATTTTCTTTATTTTTTGTTTGTTTTAGTTCAATTTAGAACTCACATAGTCTAATTAGTTTGTTTATAAAAAATAAAAAATATATATACAAAAAATTTGAAAAATCCCAGACTTTTCCCGACGATGGATCTGTTGGACAATTTTCTTGAGGGATTAAAGTCTGATTAAAAATATCAAAAAGATCTTCGTTGTTTTTGTTAGGATAGTTAGGTAGTATCCCTTGGTTTTTCTTTGGACTTCGGTTCTTTTCCATGGTTGTAGCTCGAACCGGGTATATTTGTTTATTTTTTTAGTTTTTTTAGGAGTAGGATAGGAAGAAGCTGAGGTGTTCTGAGTACCTGTTGACATGTTTGGTGCTAACATATTAAGGTATGGCATGCGCTCTGTTTTCCTGAATACTTGATGTGAATTGTAATGCCCAAGTAAATTAAGTAGCCTACTCTATGACACCTTTTCCTCAGTTGTGTGAGTTGTATTCCACCTAATGCATAATTGCTTAAAAATTCTCAACTAGTTGTGCTTGCTCGACTTGAGAGTCGAACAGAACCATCGTGATTAAGTCATGTGCAATGTGTGTGTGTGGATTTGCGATATTCTGTGCTATCCTGTGTAGTCTAAAACTTGCCCCGTGTGTTACTCGAAGCGAACTCATTAAGTTGTGCTAGTTTAGGAGATGAAATAGGCGTTTCTTGCTTGATCACGTCCTTGTTACTTAAAAATAAAATTTTCCATTGCTAGCTCATTTGAGCCTATAGACCTTTCCTTTGGACCCACATTACAAGCCGAACCCCTATTTTCTTCTTAATTTGAGATTGTTTAACCTCTATCTCCTAAGGCACTTAGTCGCTAAAAGAAGTAAGGTGAGATATTGTTGAGTATCTTTCGAGTGGAACCGTGGAAGGGCCCTTAAGGTGCACTAAAGTTGTGAAAAGAGGTCACTGGTCGATGAACCTTAATGTATGGAGTGTCTGTAGAGAAAAAAAAGAATAGTTCGAATAATGTAAAACACACACACACACACACCTTCTAATCTTACTAATTCATACTAATGGAAATATCAAAATACTTAATTAAAAAAGGGCTATGTTATATATGTTTTATGGCGAGTGAAGTGGTTGAGACGAATATGAGCTCAATTTTGTGTGTGTAGTGTATTAAAGTGCTTAGGAGGGTCAGTCACAATACCTAATTGATTCTAGATTTGGCTACCTGAGATTAGTAGAGATGTACACTACGAGCAAGCTTATGGTACGACCACGAGATGCACATGAATTCTTGTGAAAGTGAGCGAATTTTGTTCAATAGTGTGATGTCCTTAATGTGTGCGCTACTTCTATATTCACTCTTTTGCTTGTGGTGAGGGCACTTGGTCTCATGACGGATTGGTGATGTTGTAAACTTATTTTGTTGGGTGAGTGCGCGAGTTGAGGATGCTTAGTGGTAACGAGTCGGGTCTTGAGGTGAGTGCACGGATTGGTTGTTTGAGTTGGTTGAATTGCATTGTGTATACTTGTGCTAGTTTAAAAACGGGAAGAATGTGAAATTCGTGTGTCCATGCTTAACTGCCGGTATCAACCATAGTAAAAAAAGGTAGAATGAGTGATTGAATTAAATGTGAATTGCTCTTTCAAAGTGAGGCGTACGTTTTGGGGTGTTGATATAGTTCCACTGGTCGAGGACGAGCAAGAGTCTAAGTGTGGGGTGTTGATATTCGGCTTAAAATATGCATATTCTTGTGTATATTACCTCGCATTTTGCTCATGTATCGTAGATTTCGGATGTGTACTATAATGATTTTTGCTAATTTGGGGTATTCTATGTGTAGGAATCATCCGTATGCAATTTGGGACGAAGGTGCACGAATTGAAACGAAAATGGGAAGAGAAGGCAAAAGTGCACAGTTGAGCGCCACAGTCAACGTGGGGCACTACCTATGGTGCACAAAACAGAATGCTTAACAACCCCAGCGCCAAGGCAAGCGCCCCAAGCTGCGCTGGACGCTGGTGACGTGAAAGTGTCCTATTTTGAATGGGACTCGGTTATTTCGACCCGAAGACGCCCCAACACATATAAAGTCCAAACCAAACCTATTTTGAGGGGGAGGATGCGACTTTGAGAGAGGAACAAAAGTACGAAACACTCGGTAGCACGGATTTGATCAATTCTTACATTCTTCTTCTAGTGTTCATTGATTTTATGTTTGAAAATATTATTTTTCATGATTGTATGAACATGAGCGGCTAAGAACCTTATTATTATGGGGTCATGGGTGCTACATGAATATTGACTTTTGAAGTTTAAATTGACGAGTTTGATTTTATCATATTGGGTTGTTTATTTAATTCTGTTCTTAATTATTTTGTTGCGTAGCTAACAGTGAAATACTATCTACGAATCTAGAGTTGAACTCGAAAGTGAGAATTCTAGATTGCATATAGGATTAAATAGAGCAAGTTCTTGAACCCGGGCATCGGTGAACGGATGCACAATTAGGATAGAAATATATCTAAGTGTCTTGCTTGATTGAAATACAGGAAGTGTAAATGCATTCTTCTTAGTCTTAGTTCCATAGACATATAAGTATTATATTAGCTTGAATAGGCGAGTAAGAACTCGAAATATTCTTATGAGTAATATTTACTCTATAAATCAACAAGTCAAATTAATCAATTAGTCAGTTTAAGCCAAGAATGCAACAAGATTGTTAGCTAGCCTATGACCGTGAAATATCCTTTCCTACTGATTTTTATTCAAAATTGCCTAAGTGTTGTGGTTGATCCTAGTTATTTCATTGCTTGATAGTTTCTTAGGTAGTACATTACTCACTTACATATTTTGTGATAAATATCTTGAATCGATAAGTTGTTTGAGTTTGGATGTCACGACCCAACCCCGGTCGTGATGGCGCCCAACATACTACTAGGCAAGCCCGACCATTTAGACAACCTTAACCGATTAATCACAGTGGATAAATAAGTTTTCAAAACTAAAATACCAAGTTAAATGCGGGAAAATCCTGAAATAAATTCTAACATCCGCAAAGCCCAAAATATAATATACTATTCAGCCCACAGAATCTGGTGTCACAAGTCTGAGCCTCTAATGCATGAGTATTAACCTACTACATAATGTTTCTCTAGAAATGTGGAAAACAAATAAATAAAATAGAAGGAAGATCAGGACTGCGAACGCCAATTTGCAGCTACCTTGAATCTCCCGAATGTGATGCTAGGCAGAGAAAGATCTCACTCAGCCTCAGTGGGTGCGCCTGAATCTGCACACAAGGTGCAGGGAGTAATGTGAGTACTTCCAACCCAGAAAGTAATAAACAGAAATACAGTCTGAGAATAAGAAATCCTAAATAGGCACAAAGTGAAGCTATAAACACAGCAACATGAACCAGTAGCATAATACAGTAAAACAGTGAAAACAATTATAGAATTATCACATCAGAATAAAGAATAAATGACAATTAAATATGCAATGCAACACATAAACCGGTACTCTCCAGTACCCGCTGCGGCGTGCAGCCCGCTCCATTTATTTATCGTCGACGGCGCTCACTGGGGGTGTGCAGACTCCGGGAGGGGCCCCTTACGGCCCAAGCGCAATAATAAGCCATATCGTGGCATCAAACAGGCCCTCAGCCTCATATCAATATCAATATCATACCGCTGCCGTGTGCAGCCCGATCCTATTCTCAGTCCAAAATCACATAAGCCCCTCGAGCACAATAACATAAAAATATTCAGCCCAAACTTCACTTAAAAAAATATTAATTTAGTTTCTACTTTGAGAAAAATGGCTGAGTTTACAAAACAGTATTAAATACCAGGACTGAGTTCAATATTTATAATTATGGTAAGAAACCAGTAAGAATAATCCCTGAAGGATTCAAGTAGTTGGCACAAAGCCCAATTATGACAATTAATCCATTTTTATAAGGATGTTACTAATCTACAATCAATTAGGTAGTAATTTTATTAAGCGGGACAATCCCCGACGGTGCTCTACCCCACGCCCGTTATCCGGCGTGCAAGTCACCTCACATAGCACTACATTGTGCAAATTCGGGGTTTCAAACCCTCAACACAGCATTTACATTTATTACTAACCTCAAGCCGGCCAAAGTCCTAGCTTGCTATGCCTTTGCCTTTCGAATTAACCTCCTCGCGTACCGAATCTGATCAAAACCACAACGAATACATCATATGCTAATGGGACAATACCCAATCGAAAACAATCGAAAATAGTGAAATTCCCGAAATTAGATAAAACCCGAGCCCTGGGCATACTTCTCGAAAATCAGTAAATTTACCATCAACGGATTTCTTATCTCGCCACGAGTCTATACATATAAAGAATACCAAAATTGGAGTCCAAATGACCCCTCAAATTCCCATTTTTGCTCTCTTAGGTTTTAAGCCCTAACCTCCATTTTTGACCTTTAATTCCTTGATTTTTCAGTCTAAATTCATGTATTTGCATCATAAAATCGTGTTCTAAGTCCAAGAATTCTTACCTGATCGAAGTCCTCGAAACCCTCTTCAAAATCGCCCAAAAACTCTCCAAGTCCGAAGTGAAAATATGAACTCTTTTGAAATTTCGCGAAGGAATTAAAACTCCTTTCTGATCAGTTGTTTCCGCATCTGCGGTACAGTTGTCGCTTCTGCGACTTCTGCTTCTGCGGCCTTCTTCCGCTTCTGAGGAAATTCCCAAAGTCCCAAGGTCCGCTTCTGCGACCTCATTCCCGCATCTGCGGCTTCGCAGATGCGGCTCCTCCAACCGCTTCTGCGGAAACAACACCCAGGCCAAATATCGCTTCTGCGATCCTCCCTTCGCTTCTGCGTGACCGCACCTGCGGTCCCACAACCGCAGGTGCGAAAATA